TAACATATGTGAACAAAATATCAAAGGGTATTTTTTAGGTAAAAGTAATTTATCTTTGATACACGAGTTGTCAGACATATGAACAACTTGTGTATATCCTCAAAACACATCAAACAAAAAAGATTAGACATATGAACAACATGTGAACCGTATGAACATCTTCTGTATATTCAGGAGCCAACTCTGTTGTATGTACATGAACACTTACGAAGCTTGTGTTCACATGAATCACAGATACTGTTCATATTCATGTGATGTGATTGTGCATATGTATCGATATGAACATCTATTGCCTTTGATATGTGTTCATTTAAACAAATTCAAATGTCATACTAATCACTTACCAATAGGAATGTTTTGATCATTTTCTTCATTATCGGAATTCGAATTGCGAATGTTATCGGAGACGACGATGGAGATTGGGAATCTCCATCCTCATCCCATTTCCATGCCTATCAAATGGTGTCATATAAAATAACTAATACGTTGATTCATTTACATAATGTTCTGAAAAGTTTGTTAAGACGTCTAAGGTGTCCTAGAAAAAAATGCAACATTTTTAGATAGGATTCTTTATCGTTGGTACTATAAACTTAACTCCTATATAACAATCTAATAGGACATTTAGGGGCCGTTTACCAAACGCTTACCCAGGTAAGCGCTTATCAAGTAACATTATCTCATCGAATGAATCGTAAGGACCAAGAATCTTATCCGGTAAGAGCGAGACAAAGAACACAAGTCTTACCCGGTAAGTAAAGGCGACAACTCTTACCACGGTAAGCGCTTACTGGGTAAATTGTTGCATACGATGTCATTTTGGTGGACTAAAATCTTAACTGATAAGTAAATAATAGTGTTAAATTTTACTCGTAAACACTTACCGGGTAAGTGCGAGACAAAGAACACAAGTCTTACCCGGTAAGTAAAGGCGACAACTCTTACCATGGTAAGCGCTTACCGAGTAAATTGTTGCATACGATATCATTTTGGTGGACTAAAATCTTACCTGGTAAGTAAATAATAATGTTAAATTTTACCGGTAAACACTTACCGGGTAAGTGTTTGGTAAACGGTCCCTTAGACTTTTTTAACGTCATATAAATCCAATTTTGTTATAGTAAAGAATGTGAGGAAACATGTGACAAGAATAAGAATTAACAAAAGGAGAACGAAGCATGAGAAAATAAGTAAGAATAAGTACTCTACTAAGATCTACGTTTGACATTTACAAAAGGTAACGTAAGACTATATATACCACGTATAACAAGTCACTACAAGAAAACCAAGTTTACAGGATACCGAAAAATATGTAGATGTCGTAATAGACTGTTTGATAGGATGTTTTTTGACGTCTTAACAAGTTTTTTAGAACGCTTCTTAAAAACCATCCTATTAATTTTTTTTATATGAAGTTATTTATCAAGTGTTGTATAAAAATGCATATAACACTTTATAAAAAAGTCTGTTATGACATTTATGACTTTTACATAGAAGACACAATTGTTTAGTCATAAAAACTTAAGTCTTATAAAACAGTCTGTTATGACATTTATGATGTCCTATAAATTTGCTTTTGTTGTAGTGAGCACGACAAGTTCACATCCCCCTCCAACCTAAACTACCGGTCCTTTACCCCTCCTAATCTATTCAGCTCCATTTTCCTTTACTATATGTACGTGTCCATTCCTAATCTGTTACTTTAATCCTCCATCTCCGACTCAACATTGGACCTAGAATTTTTGCTGAGTAGGTGCATTTTTAAGATTGATCAAAGGCCTGTAAATTCGTTCGATATGTTTTTAGTCGAATTCCATCTTAAGAGAATTTTTAAAAAAAATTGGTTGATCTCAACGACTGTTTGAGTTTTTTAGGTTTGATTTTCATGGACTTCTATTGTTTCTTGGTTGATTTCGAGGGATTTTTTCTGGTTATTTGGTTAATATTCCTTGTATTTTTTAATATCTCGAAGCACCCTGATAACTCTGGGAATTTTAAAATGATCTGTCATTTCGATAAAAGATTTTAAATGAGAGTGCGGATCTTCCGACGATAATCCCCCAAACTGACCCATTGTGGAAATCATTTGGAACATTACGGGTTTTGGTTCAAAAGTTGTGGCTGTCATTTCGGGCCTACCAATTCTTGCGGCCAACTGATCGAATTCGGGAGTTGCGTAGTCTCGTATGACTCTATTTTTATCATCGGCAATATTAACCGTGGCCTCCCGTGGAGGTGGATTATCCCCCATGGTTTGGTTATGATTATTTCTACCTCTTCTACGTCTTCTAATGGTTCCTTCTAATTCAAGATCAAGATGTAAAAGTTCACCGCATTGTAGCCTTTGCATACAACACGGGAAGTACGAGTGAAACAAAAGAACAAGACTCAAATGAAAAATCAATATCTCAGGATAAAAATCACGTTACTTTCCCCGGCAACGGCGCCAAAAACTTGACAGGACCGGGATCGTTCGTGTTCACCTAGTGGGCAGAATGTCCCCACATTGGCAGTGCAAGAGTACGCCGACACTATGATCGCTTGCAAGTAATAAAGTGGTACAAAGTACCGAGATCGTTCCCACAGAGAAGGTAGAGATTTAGAGATTTTTCATTAACTTCTTGCACGAGTTTCGAGATGTAAAATAAAGTTGGATTTTTGTTTATAAAAAGACCGAAATAAGACCGACTAGCTAATTAATGAAATAAACTTCTAATATTAAAATATGGGCATGGGTGCAAGTGTTGCTTAAGATAAAAATTAACAATAAAATGGTTAGACTTTTACGAGTTGTTTATAAAAGCTCCGATCTCTCGAAAGTAAACTTTTATAACGAGGCCTCATAAAATTCCATAAGGTTTTTAAGTTTACCACTTCGAAACTTGCCGATCAAGCTAAAAAGTAAAAGGAATGCGATTCTTACCCAAATCTCTTTGTAATAAAAATACCTATTGCTTAACCCCTAGCTAGATGCATACAAAATTCGCGTCTCCACGTAATTATTCAAAGACCCTATCGAGTTCATTGTGCATCACTTAAGTCGTATTTCGGATCCGCCCATCTCTGGGTCTAAGATCTAATATTAACACTTCAAAGTGATCAGTTTATCCGCATTTTAAGCACCGTCTTAAGTGACCAAGTTACGAAGTGATAAAAGATAAAAACACYCAAATATTATATAAACATCCTAAGTTAAACTCACACCCACACCCATACAAGTAATTTAGCTAGACATAATAAAAGTAATTAAAGACGTAAAATAATACTGAAATATAAATTGCATTAATGTAAAACTAAATTACAAGTACAAGAAAGTAAAATACTAGAAATTAAAGACATAAATTAAAGACATAATTTAAATACATTAATTAAAAAGAATAATAATACTAAAAAAAAGAGAAGAGAGATACACTAAAGAGTATTGTGTCTTCAAAATGGTGTTGGACACACCTCCAAATGGCTCTCCCAATGCCTCTTTATATAGGGGAGAGGAATGGAGGATACTACACTCAATCATTATCCAAGGGTAATTAGTACAAGGTTAAGAAAATACAAAAAAAAATAGAAGAAGGAAGACAGCTCATAAGCAGCTGGAGAAAATATATGGAGGAATCTTCAAGCTGCACGTTTCCCAAGAAGCTGCAACAAGGCTGGTAGACTTCTCACAGTGGTGCCACAGTGGGTAGTGCTGTCAGAAAAATACAGGTTTTTGGAATAATACCTCTTCCTTTGTGTTTCATCATCTTTTTAAAACTTTTTGGAATAAAATGACAAAAACAAGAAAAATCGATATTTAATAATAGCAAAAAGGGAGCAAATAAAAAGAAAATAACTCTTAAAAATAAGAATTATCACACCTCTTAAATTTTAGCGTATTCATCTTTCATACGCTAAAATTTTTACTTGTGAAAAGCGATTGAACGTGTACATGGGATCCATTCCTACTCCAAATGCTGCTATCAGATGTCATGTTTTGTCTAGTAGATTATCAATAAACAGATAAAGAAAAGGGAAATTAATAAAAATAACCGTTTTCAATATCAAATTCATCCTTCGCAAGTGACTCCTCAACTTGCGGTGGAGCTAAAAGTAAAAAAAATCAATTTTCGCTCGCTTGTGGATGTGCCATTTGCGGACCTGGGTGAAAAGTGAATTTTTTCAATTATTCCACTCACTTGTGGAGGTGCTACTTGCGGACCTGAGTGAAAAATGATGTTTCTTTCAATTTTCACTCACTTGCGGAGAAGCCACTTACGGACCTGGGTTAAAAGTGAATACTTTCTTGTCTTTTAACTCTTCCACAAGTTGAGGTGGTGCCACTTGCAAAGATAATGATATCTTAGAAATCTCTCAAAAAAATTGACTAAAAGATGAATTTGGTCCCATCTTAAAAAAAAAAAAAAAAAAAAAAAAAAAAAAAAAAA